ATGTTTTTCCGTATAGTTTCAATGTCATCAGAACGTCAGATGATGATCTTGACTACCGCGAATAGGAGATTCCTTATTGCTACGTTACTGCGTGGTTGTTGCTATGCATTTCTTATTTAATTTAAGTTAGAGGGAATTATAGCATCTATAACATCCCAAGGGAGTTATGACCTTCATAATAGATATCGTAACTATGACGATATAAGCTTATAATGTCACTGTCAGAAATAAAATAATTTTTCTCCCCGAGCGTCCTACACATCTGAAAAACTCTGGAGACACTAATTTTGACATGTTGAAAACGAATCAGGAATCAGATTTGATCCAAGACTTTTCGTTAAAATTTTCAAAATTCGCTATTCATGATAATATAGGTTAGTTCAGGTCGAAAAATAATTTTTCTCCCCGAGCGTCCTACACATCTGAAAAACTCTGAAGACACTAATTTTGACATGTTGAAAACGAATCAGGAATCAGATTTGATCCAAGACTTTTCGTTTAAATTTTCAAAAATCGCAATTCATGATAATATAGGTTAGTTCAGGTCGAAAAATTTTTTTTTTTCCGAGCGTCCTACACATCTGAAAAACTCTAAAGACACTAATTTTGACATGTTGAGAATGAATCAGGAATCAGATTTGATCCACGACTTGTCGTTAAAATTTTCAAAAATCGCAATTCATGATAATATAGGTTAGTTCAGGTCGAAAAATTTTTTTTTCCCGAGCGTCCTACACATCTGAAAAACTCTAAAGACACTAATTTTGACATGTTGAGAATGAATCAGGAATCAGATTTGATCCACGACTTGTCGTTAAAATTTTCAAAAATCGCAATTCATGATAATATAGGTTAGTTCAGGTCGAAAAATTTTTTTTTCCCGAGCGTCCTACACATCTGAAAAACTCTAAAGACACTAATTTTGACATGTTGAAAACGAATAAGGAATCAGATTTGATCCAAGACTTTTCGTTAAAATTTTCAAAAATCGCAATTCATGATAATATAGGTTAGTTCAGGTCGAAAAATGTTTTTTCTCCCCGAGCGTCCTACACATCTGAAAAACTCTAAAGACACTAATTTTGACATGTTGAAAACGAATAAGGAATCAGATTTGATCCAAGACTTTTCGTTAAAATTTTCAAAAATCGCAATTCATGATAATATAGGTTAGTTCAGGTCGAAAAAAAATTTTTTTCCCGAGCCTCCTACACATCTGAAAAACTCTAAAGACACTAATTTTGACATGTTGAAAACGAATCAGGAATCAGATTTGATCCAAGACTTTTCGTTTAAATTTTCAAAATTCGCAATTCATGATAATATAGGTTAGTTCAGGTCGAAAAATTTTTTTTCTCCCCGAGCGTCCTACACATCTGAAAAACTCTAAAGACACTAATTTTGACATGTTGAAAACGAATAAGGAATCAGATTTGATCCAAGACTTTTCGTTAAAATTTTCAAAAATCGCAATTCATGATAATATAGGTTAGTTCAGGTCGAAAAAAAATTTTTTTCCCGAGCCTCCTACACATCTGAAAAACTCTAAAGACACTAATTTTGACATGTTGAGAATGAATCAGGAATCAGATTTGATCCACGACTTGTCGTTAAAATTTTCAAAAATCGCAATTCATGATAATATAGGTTAGTTCAGGTCGAAAAATTTTTTTTTCCCGAGCGTCCTACACATCTGAAAAACTCTAAAGACACTAATTTTGACATGTTGAAAACGAATAAGGAATCAGATTTGATCCAAGACTTTTCGTTAAAATTTTCAAAAATCGCAATTCATGATAATATAGGTTAGTTCAGGTCGAAAAATTTTTTTTCTCCCCGAGCGTCCTACACATCTGAAAAACTCTAAAGACACTAATTTTGACATGTTGAAAACGAATAAGGAATCAGATTTGATCCAAGACTTTTCGTTAAAATTTTCAAAAATCGCAATTCATGATAATATAGGTTAGTTCAGGTCGAAAAAAAATTTTTTTCCCGAGCCTCCTACACATCTGAAAAACTCTAAAGACACTAATTTTGACATGTTGAGAATGAATCAGGAATCAGATTTGATCCACGACTTGTCGTTAAAATTTTCAAAAATCGCAATTAATGATAATATAGGTTAGTTCAGGTCGAAAAATTTTTTTTTCCCGAGCGTCCTACACATCTGAAAAACTCTAAAGACACTAATTTTGACATGTTGAAAACGAATAAGGAATCAGATTTGATCCAAGACTTTTCGTTAAAATTTTCAAAAATCGCAATTCATGATAATATAGGTTAGTTCAGGTCGAAAAATTTTTTTTCTCCCCGAGCGTCCTACACATCTGAAAAACTCTAAAGACACTAATTTTGACATGTTGAAAACGAATAAGGAATCAGATTTGATCCAAGACTTTTCGTTAAAATTTTCAAAAATCGCAATTCATGATAATATAGGTTAGTTCAGGTCGAAAAAAAATTTTTTTCCCGAGCCTCCTACACATCTGAAAAACTCTAAAGACACTAATTTTGACATGTTGAAAACGAATCAGGAATCAGATTTGATCCAAGACTTTTCGTTTAAATTTTCAAAAATCGCAATTCATGATAATATAGGTTAGTTCAGGTCGAAAAATTTTTTTTCTCCCCGAGCGTCCTACACATCTGAAAAACTCTAAAGACACTAATTTTGACATGTTGAAAACGAATAAGGAATCAGATTTGATCCAAGACTTTTCGTTAAAATTTTCAAAAATCGCAATTCATGATAATATAGGTTAGTTCAGGTCGAAAAAAAATTTTTTTCCCGAGCCTCCTACACATCTGAAAAACTCTAAAGACACTAATTTTGACATGTTGAGAATGAATCAGGAATCAGATTTGATCCACGACTTGTCGTTAAAATTTTCAAAAATCGCAATTCATGATAATATAGGTTAGTTCAGGTCGAAAAATTTTTTTTTCCCGAGCGTCCTACACATCTGAAAAACTCTAAAGACACTAATTTTGACATGTTGAAAACGAATAAGGAATCAGATTTGATCCAAGACTTTTCGTTAAAATTTTCAAAAATCGCAATTCATGATAATATAGGTTAGTTCAGGTCGAAAAATTTTTTTTCTCCCCGAGCGTCCTACACATCTGAAAAACTCTAAAGACACTAATTTTGACATGTTGAGAATGAATCAGGAATCAGATTTGATCCACGACTTGTCGTTAAAATTTTCAAAAATCGCAATTCATGATAATATAGGTTAGTTCAGGTCGAAAAATTTTTTTTTCCCGAGCGTCCTACACATCTGAAAAACTCTAAAGACACTAATTTTGACATGTTGAGAATGAATCAGGAATCAGATTTGATCCACGACTTGTCGTTAAAATTTTCAAAAATCGCAATTCATGATAATATAGGTTAGTTCAGGTCGAAAAATTTTTTTTTCCCGAGCGTCCTACACATCTGAAAAACTCTAAAGACACTAATTTTGACATGTTGAAAACGAATAAGGAATCAGATTTGATCCAAGACTTTTCGTTAAAATTTTCAAAAATCGCAATTCATGATAATATAGGTTAGTTCAGGTCGAAAAAATTTTTTTCTCCCCGAGCGTCCTACACATCTGAAAAACTCTAAAGACACTAATTTTGACATGTTGAAAACGAATCAGGAATCAGATTTGATCCAAGACTTTTCGTTAAAATTTTCAAAAATCGCAATTCATGATAATATAGGTTAGTTCAGGTCGAAAAAAAATTTTTTTCCCGAGCCTCCTACACATCTGAAAAACTCTAAAGACACTAATTTTGACATGTTGAAAACGAATCAGGAATCAGATTTGATCCAAGACTTTTCGTTTAAATTTTCAAAATTCGCAATTCATGATAATATAGGTTTTAGTTCAGGTCGAAAAATAATTTTTCTCCCCGAGCGTCCTACACATCTGAAAAACTCTGGAGACACTAATTTTGACATGTTGAAAACGAATCAGGAATCAGATTTGATCCAAGACTTTTCGTTAAAATTTTCAAAATTCGCTATTCATGATAATATAGGTTAGTTCAGGTCGAAAAATAATTTTTCTCCCCGAGCGTCCTACACATCTGAAAAACTCTAAAGACACTAATTTTGACATGTTGAAAACGAATCAGGAATCAGATTTGATCCAAGACTTTTCGTTAAAATTTTCAAAATTCGCAATTCATGATAATATAGGTTAGTTCAGGTCGAAAAATTTTTTTTCTCCCCGAAATCCGAAATCATTGATCAGATGAATGATTAATGAAACTCCAGGTTAGCGAATATTTCATGACCTTATGAGTATTTCGTTAAGAATAAACTGATGATAATAAAACCATGCTCAATCAAGTACTTTTAATGAAACATGCAAGGAAACTATTGGAGAAACAATGTTGATGAAAATCATGATAAGATTATACAATTAGATCAAGTATTTTAGTGGTGATAATCATAACCTCAAACATTCTTCAAGATCCATTGATGAAACTCAATGTAACTGATATATAAGACGAGCATCATCAACTAAAATCATAAAATCGTTAATGAAACTCTACTCCAGATAAATGGTGGTAGTATGAACTTATCATAATGAAAGATAGATGAGGAAAAATAATAAGCAATACAATGTATTTTTTGGACTAGTGTTTCATCAACGGAAAACTTTTATTGACCATTACCCAAGATACTTTTATAAATCCATTGATGAAACTTCATGTACGTAATATGAGAAGTGCATCATCGACTAAAACAAAATGAAATCGTTAATGAAACACTACTACAGATGAATAATGGTAGTCCGAATTTGAAATGATGAAACAAATGAGAGTTATGATGGATGAGTGTTTCTTCAAACATATTTGGAAACTGTTAATGAAACCCTAAATGTTATGAAAGCAATGTTCCATATCATAATCATGAATAAGCAAAAACAGTAAAGCGTGTAATTGACTGATGTCACTGATGAGCATGTTCAAAGGTTACGCGATGTGAGGATGATTACCTGTAGTTCATGAATGATTGACTGGTATTTGTGGAGAGCGGCTTGCACAGCTGATATCGTACTCTCAGCAAAAGCTGCTGGGGAAGTCATACTGCGCGCCGATCTTTTTGGCGATCTATACACAAGATTAGTGAGGTTAGTTTGGCCACAAAAACGATCACAGCAACTCAACAAGCAAAAAACACACATAGAGAGTCAAGAGTGAGTAAGCTGACATAATATGCGTTTTATCAGGAAATGTATCAAGTTTCACATCTCTGTATCAACTCCGGCATTCGAAAAGATAATATGGTCATGTGACAACTCTTTCCAAAGCCCATTGACTACACTATTCGAAAATCAGGTCATCTTCGAGAGAAAACTATTGAAGTCATGAAATGTTGAGAATCAATACTCCAACCACTTTTATTAAATATTGATAGGCACCTACTTTTCCCACTTCATATCAACTCAGGCATTTGAGAAGATACTATGGTCTTGTGACGTCTCCTTCGAGAGCTCTTCGACTATACTATTTGGAAAATCAGCTCATTTATGGAAGTAATATTAAGATACCTACCAACTTTCTCAACTTGATATCAACTCAGGCAAATGGAAAGATAATATGATCATGTGACGCCTCTTTTCAGAGCTCTTTCAATACACAATCAGAAAATCAGCTCATTTTTGAGATGCATTAAATTGCTGAAAATTGATACAAATGCGAACGCCCTTTTTTATGTTCTGGATGCGATATCTCACTTTTGAGGTAATGAAGTGGAAGCACTCAGATGAAGATGAGTAGCTTGCAGAATTTCGGGATCTTTCGTTTCGGCATCTTGAATGAGGGCATGGGCAATGTCTCGTAGAGCACCTTGTAGGATATCCATGTCTTCTTGCATTTTCAGGGCTTGTCCACAGGTCTGTTCTGCATCAGAACATCTTTCTTTCTACATAAATGAGGAATCCGTCACGGTAAAAGTTTATGGAAAGTGAATAGGTACTTACCAGAGCCTGCAAATCTCTAGACAACTGTTGGATTTTGTCGTCTTTCATTTCTATTTCAATTTGTCGACTATTGTATTGTGATTTCAGGTTGTCTAATTGTGTCCGCATTTCGGACAGTTCTTGTTCCAGTTCCTGCTTTTCTTTTCCCTTAAAAAAAATCGAGAATAAATGAATCAACTTTCTTGATATATTGAAAAAAAAACTCACTCCACCAAATATATTTTCAGTCATCAAATTAGCATCCATTCTGCCACAAGCGGTTATCATCTCTTTGCCGATACCAGACACGTCCATTTTGATGTTGTTCAAATCCCTTTCAGTGGTACTCTGTATGTCAGTGAACAATCTTTTTATAGCAACGACGTCTCGCCACAGATTCAGCATCCTGTTGTGTTCGGTGCTGTAATAATCATTGAAAGCTTGTTCTTCGTCTTTCCATTCGTCCTCTTTGATGATCATCTCTTCTCTGAGGTTCTCGAAATCGTTGGTGAGTTTCTGAAGATCGCTGGTCAAAGCTTCGTTCGTGTGATGGGATTCTTCGAGTTGTTCGCGCAACGAACTGTTCAAGTGCATCATCTTCTCGTTTCTGAACGATAAGCACATTTGTGAGATCACGAAAATACGTTTTAAATGAGGTGTCATATACGACCTATGCTGCTGAGTGTCTCAGATCATCAGACAGGTGTCAACTTTTCAACTCAGTATCAACTCTCGTTTCCAAGTAGCTGATATGGTCGTGTGACGACTCATTTTAGAGCTAGTTTCATTTCTGATTCAAATATGTGAGTTTTGAAAAAAATGATATATCATTTGATTATGACCAGAACGGTCGATTGATAGATCATAAATAGCCTTTTTTAATGAGGTGCTAAGTGTCTCAGATTATCAAAAAGTATCAGTTTTTCAACTCAGTATCAACTTTGGCAGCCGAGTAGCTGAAATAGTCGTGTAACGGTTCATTCTAAACCTGATTTCATTTCTGATTCGAATATAATGGTTTTGAGGAAAATGATCTATTCCTTACTATAACAGGCTCAATTATTCGATTAAGACTAGAAAGGTCAATTGATGAATCATGAAAAGCCGTTCAGAATATGGTGTCACGATACGACCCATGTTGCTAAGTATCCCGGATTATTGACTGGGTGAGTATCAGTTTTTCAACTCGGTATCAACTTCAGTAGATGAGAAAGTGATATGGTCGTGTGACGGCTCATTTTGAAGCTGATTATATTTCTAATTGAAATATATTGGTTTCGAACACAATAACTACCTATAGCTAACTATATCAAACCTATTAGTTCGATGAGTGCCCTATTTTCACGATATTAAAAATTGATAATTCAAAAAATAACATTGATAGGTACCCACTCCATTGTTCCACAATTTTGGAGTATCAACTTCCAGAAATTAATCAGTCGTATGATCATTTGAAACATCCTTCGATTTCCGAGTAAATCAGCTAGGGCGATCGAAAAAATGTTAAGAATCTTCGCCTACTCACTTTCTGCGTTCTTCGTGAAGTCTCTGCAACGCAGTCTCCAAATCACTAATTCTCTCTCTGTCTGAATCTCTCATCTCCCTCAAATGTTGCTGCGCTTGTTCCATAGCAGAACTAGAGGGGTAAGCAGGAGTCAGTGAAGAGGGTTGGTCCATGTGGACCATCTGGGTTTCTAAATCAGCACATCGTTTCTTGTACTGCAAAACCTGCATAACCACGTGTCAAAAAACTGTCGATATTTGCCCGATTCCGCCTACCTTGGCTTGTAGTCTACTGACCAACGCCGCCTGATTTTGCTGCGCCTGCCTGTAGGTGTCCAGTCGCCGTCTGTAGAGCGACGCCTCCTCCTGCAGACGTTGTCGCAGGTCCTTGGAAGCGCCGTCTTCGTCGCTGCTGCCCCCACCCCCGCCATCTCCCCTCAGTCGACCGCCGTCCGTTCTGCTGCTCATGCCGCTGCTCGACTGGAAACGAAAGTTTTCAACTCGGACAGTTGGGGTCGCAGCATGGTCGTGCGACCCCTCATTTGAAAGCTCTACTAATTTCTGAGTCAATCGTATTGCTTTTTGGTGAGAAATATGTTTTTCAACTCTGATGCTTAAGGTGATAGCAGAGTCGTGTGACCCCTCATTCGAAAGATCTATTAATTTCTTATTCAATTATATTACTTTAAAGGAAATTTGTCACTGTCTCAGTTTTCAACTATGATGTTAGACGTTATAGCGGGGTCGTATCACCCCTCATTTGAGAGCTCCACTAGTTTCTGATTCGATTAAATTACTTTCAAGGAGAGTCATAACCGTCTCAGCTTTCAACTCTGAGGTCAGATGTAATAGCAGGGTCATGTGACCCCTCATTTTGAAGCTTTACCAATTTCTGATTCTATTATGTTACTTTGAAGGTAAGTTGTCACTGTCTCAGTTTCAACTCTGATGTCAAAGGTTATAGCAGGGTCGAATAACCCCTCATTTGAAAGCTCATCAGATTTTAAATTCGAATATATTACTTTCAAGGAAACTTGTCATCTCAGTGTTCAACTTTGTTGTTTGGGGTTAGGGCAGGGTCGTGTGACCCCTCATTTGAAAGCTCAACTAATTTCAAAGTCGACTGTGATATTTTCAAGGAAGATTGTCACAGTTTCAGTTTTCAACTTCTATTTTAGAGGTTTTCGGAGGGCCGTGTGACCCCTCATTTGAAAGGTCTGATAATTTCTGATCTGTTTGTATCGCTTCCGGAAGGAAAACTATATTTTTCAACGCTGATGTTCGAGGTTATAGCAGGGTCTCGTGACTCCTCGTATTTCAAAGACATTTGCTTTGAAATAAAGAATGAGTTGATGTTTAACATCTCTGAAATCGTAGATTGAAAAAATACTCACATCTGTTCTCGATTTTGGTCTATACATTGGTGGTCTTCTACTCTCCAATTTTGGTGGTTCAACTTTCTTTGCGGGCGGCTGAAACAAAACTAGGATTATTGATAAATTCTTCTCAGGATACAATTTCATTAAATAAATCAAACAAGTATTTACGTGTCGATAAACATCAATTGTTGATTTTTCTTCTGAATGTGCGTATTCTTCTAATCAAGCAAACACATTATTATTAGATAATGGTATTTGTTCAAAAAATAAAAACAAAAGAGGTGAATGATTAGACCTTTATTGTTTGTGATTTTTTTAGAATTTCATCAGAGATAAATCCGAATGACGCACTATGTGGTATCACCTTAGATGTTTTTTATTTCTTCTGGAAACAATAAATACATACATAAAAAATATATTTTCAATTTCAAGGTTCTCTATCTTCAGATCCAAGTGAGCCCATATGAACTGGAAGAAGCATGATAGTATGTAAATGATAAGTTTCAAACTACACACACTGGCACAATTAGGAGAACGGGTAAAATTTACACTAAGTTTGACATCAATTTTCTCTCGCACCGATCACTCGATTCAAATTTGTTTTTCACGAATTGTAGCTTCATTCTTCACGAATACATCTGAGAAATAACCACCCCCAAACGATTCGTCTTTATATCATATACAGGGGTGTAAAGAAAGTACGGATTTTTCGGTATTCTTTAAGACATCCTGTGGATTGAACCACTGATAATTGAAACGATTTTCCAACACCAAATTATAGCCCAATCTATCCCGAATATTTTCGTTTTTTATTCATCTTGATATCCCAATTATCCAAGAAAATAAGAGTTTCAAAGAAGAGGTGGATATTGGTATTAATTTTACCACCTCGAAACTCGAACTGGGGAGAACGTGTCGTTTTTCAACTTTTTTCTGTGAGGATTTTTACTTCAAGATGAGAATTGTTCACAGTTTTACCTATCGGTTTACTGTTTAAAGACACATATACGAATACTCTCATGAATATGCAGGGGTGATAAAAGTTGCTCCAATGTTCTTTTGGTGAAATGCTATTTTTGTTAATCAACCTTGGCTATTTTGTTAAAGTCATTAATTATTGTCAAAGTCAAAAGCGATTCACAATTCATAAATTTGATCAATGAAAATTCAACGTGAGAGAATTGAAAATGACCAGTGGGCCAATGTTCTTTTAACATATGAGAGCCGCATCTGCACCAATTCAATAGATGGCAGGGAAAGACTATATCGCCGAGGTGAACAAAATGAACAATTTTATTTTACTGCTTCTGTCTCCTATGGCAGAATGGTTAGGTTAGGTTAGTCAAGAAACGATTTTCAGATCCAATTTGAGTTTTGAGGTGTTAAATTGATACCAATATCCACCTTTCCTTTGAAACTCTGTATTTTCTTGAATAATTGAGATATCAAGATGAATAAAAAACGAAAATATTCGGAATAGATTGGGCTCCAATTTGGTGTTGAGAAATCGTTTCAATTATCAGTGGTTCAGTCCACAGGATGTCTAAAAAAATACCGAAAAATCCGTACTTTCTTTACACCCCTGTATATGATGGAAGGACTCATCGTTTGGAGGTAATTATTTCTCAGATGTATTCGTGAAGAATGAAGCTACATTTCGTGAAGAACAAAATTTGAATCGAGCGATCGGTTCGAAAGAAAATTGATGTCAAACTTAGTGTAAATTTTGCCCGTTCCCCTAATTGTGCCAGTGTGTGTATGTACTGGTCATACAAAATAAACAAATTCTATGTAGGCGAAATTGAAAACATTTGAATGCATGTAGAACAAAATTCCATAGAAATTTGGAGACAATCCTCATTATTTGGAATTTTTATGCTCGTATCATTCCTAGATACATTTGAACCGTTCTGAAGAAATTCTTCTGAGTATTCCTGTTATCCTGTCTGTCACTTTGCCATCACTGCAATAATTATAGATTATTTGTATGAATTCACTTCGAATTATTACTGAAAGCCAAGATGATTCGACTACTATAATACCTGAAGTGAAGATCATTTCAACAAGATTTCAACCAACTGTGAGCGATTTTCACACAATCGTACTGGGAACACTCTGGGTGCATTTGAAGTAACTCTAGTCATCCCCAGATTGCCAAGTCACTGTCAGCGATTACCAGTTCACCACAGTTTTACAATATTGAACTGACTATAGGCATGTTCGTTGCTGTCACTCAGTCATTACTGCATTATTTCGTGCTGGGGAGTTTTCTGGGTGCTTTTAAACCATGTTGGACTTACTCTAGACATCTAGGTACATTGCTGTCATAAATTCATTACTATTTCAAGTTATTGGGCTCATAATTTTATTTCAAAAAACGATCGGAGCCAAGATAATTTGACTCGACTATACCTAATGCGAAGATCCATTCACTCGACTATACAAGATTTTCGAAAAATCGTGCTGGACACTTTCTGAGTGCATTTTGATCATGTCGGACTTACTCTAGGCATGTCTGTGGACGGCACTTGGTCATTAGATAGACACGTATATATTTTTTTATGTTCTGGTTCTCACGAAAAGGGATATCCTGTAATGTTCAGAGAACATCGTGAGAACCAAGAGAAATAAGGTAGGAATTGATGTTCTCCTTGAATTTCTGGAGGTTGTATGCCTCGGGGAACACCTCCCTTGGCAATGTGTTCCAGAGCCTCGCTGTTCGTTGGATGAACGAGTTTTTGGAAAGAGATGTTCTGCATGTCTCCAAAGTGACCACGAAGGGGTGCGAAGCCTCAACTCGACGGGTTAATCTCGCGGGGCCTGCCAAGGGAGGAACAATTGTTTATATTTCAGAAGAGCATCGTCCATGAAAATATCTATAAAATAGAGCCAGATCGCCAACTTTTCTACGGTGTTCCAGAGAAGTGAGTGAGTTTGTGAGCGAGGCATCACCCACGAGACGAATTGCCCTTTTTTGGACAGAATCCAACAGTTTCAGAGTATGTTTGGGTGCTGCACTCCAAATATGGGAACAGTATTCCAGGGCAGTTCGGATCTGTGTCTTATTGATCATAAGCAGCTGACTGGAAGTGAAATAGCTCCTGGCCCGAAACAGAAAACCAAGTTTTTGGGATGCACTTTCACCAAGAAAGGTTATTGCTGAATTATACCAAGCATCGAAATGGATGTCTTCAAAGGTATGGTTACTCCTGAAAAGCTTATGTTGGGCACAGTGAGATCGGCTTTTCTAGAGAAAAGGCATGCTTGTGTTTTGTTTGCAATGAAATCTATTCGAGAATTGTTGTCCATATTTATGTTGTCAACATTTCTCCCTCGTTCGTTTCTGATTTGCCTGGCTGGTATTGGAACCCTGGAAGAGAAGGCGGTATGGAAGGTAATATCATCCGCGGTGTACTGGACATGAAGTTGCTTCCAGCAAATCGTTGATATGGAGTAGAAATAGTGTTGGTGCTAGAATTGATCCTTGCGGAACACCAGCATTCATGATAAGATAGTCATTATTATTATTTCACCTATTTCAATTCATCGGGTTTAAAATTTTGTTTCAAAGCCAATATACTTTGAACCGACTTTTCCTAACGCGAAGATTTATTCACTCGACTATACACGATTTAAAAAAAAAATCGTGCTGGAGACTTCCTAAGTGCATTTTGACCAATTCGGACTTGTCTGTCGCCGGCATTTGGTCATTACTGCATTATGTCGTGCTGGGGAGTTTTCTGGATGCTTTTGAACCATTTTGGACTTATTCTAGACATGTAAAATGATGTTATAACTTCATTACATCATCTAAGTCAAGTTATTGGGCTAATAAGTCTGTTTCAAAGCCAAGATGATTCGAACCGACTACACCTTTTCCAATAGTAATTCAGAAAGCGTCATATACAATTCAGACAATATCATTTGTAATTCAGATTAGTTAATTGAAATTCAGAAAATATCAAATGTAATTCAGAATTGTCAATTGATATTCAGAATGCGTCATTTGTAATTCAGATTAATCAACTGAAATTCAAACAACGTCAGTTAGAATTCAGAAAGCGTCAATTGAAATTCAGAAAGCGTCATTTATAATTCAGAATGTATCATTTGTAATTCAGAATGGGTCAATTGTAATTCAGACTATGTCATTTGTAATTCAGAATAGTTGATTGAAATTCAGAAAGCATCATTTGTAATTCAGATTAGTCAATTGAATTTCAGAAAATATCAATTGTAATTCAGATTAGTCAATTGAAATTCAGAAAATATCAATTGTAATTCAGAAAACTTCATTTGTAATTCAGAAATATGGAACAGTGTTACGTTTGCATGCATACCTACCTACAATCCATCATTATCACAAGTACCTACCTAATGTGTATATTCTATTGTCCTGGGAACGAATATTCTTCAAATAATTATACATCATCTCATAGAATGAACTTCAAAGACAACTGTATGATTTGTTGGAGGAGACTGTGCTCGAGCAGCACAGCATACCACGATGTACCATTCTGCTGCTTTGACTTTAGAAAATATGCCTGTAGGTCGCTGAATGATGGATATTTTTTATTTTTATCTATCAATTCATTTCCAATATTGTTCGTTTTCATACATTACTCGCTTATATGTAGTATTATGAATGAGTTTAATAAAAACAAACTTGTGTTGTTGTATCCCACATAATATAATTACTTATTAGATTTCGAGGTGAACAACAACTACTGTCTGCTGAATTTATATTGATGCTTTCTGAATTTCTATTGATGCTTTCTGAATTTAATTCGACAAATCTGAATTACAATTGAAGTTTTCTGAATTTCACTTGACTAATCTGAATTTCAATTGATTTCTTCTGAAATTCAAGTAACTTATCTGAATTACAAATTGCGTAGTCTGAATTACAATTGACGCATTCTGAATTACAAATGACGATATCTGAATTTTAATTGATGCATTCTGAATTTCAATAGGAAAATCTGAATTACAACTGATATTTTCTAAATTTCAGTTGACGAATCTGAATTACAATTGATATTTTCTGAATTTCAATTGACAAATCCGAATTACAACTGACGTTTTCTGAATTCCATTTGAGAAATCTGAATT